TCTGCTTATTTCAACGATGGATTTCGGATTCTTCATTAGTGTAGGGGTCACTCATCAGATCACGCGTCACAAACACTCGACCCACGTGACAATGCCTGTCCCACTTGCAACCTTAGCCGACAACTTGTGCACTCATCCATTTTTGTTTACGCGCCTAACACTTACGTAACCCGCCAGGCTTATGAACTTTAACACATTAGGTCAAGTTGTATTCATGTTCGTGCAAGCATCAAACACGAAGGGACACCCCTCTCTTCACACTGCACACAACTGCATACAACTGGGCTCAACATACACACCATTGCGCGCACAGGACAGAAAGTTAACAGAGCTCCGCAAGTCTCCACGGTCAACCAGAGAACACATGTAGCAGCCATACTGCAGAGAAGACACGTCAAGCGTCCGGAACTTCACTCAGGAGCTCTCAACAAGTGTCATCAAATGATAAGTCACTTTTTGGCTTATTCTACTTTTCACATTGTATCAATTTTTATCAAGTGTACCCAACCGTTGTATTCATCACATTCTTATAAGACGGACATTTGTTAGTGCCTGTTTCCTTCTGATAATCAACGTAATTACGTCACGACTAGAGCACTAACAATTGGTGAGCCCGACGCGACCCTTATACCATGTCAGTTTCTCCGGTAAAAGATAATTCCCCATCTTCAGTCACATCAACACCCAACACTGACAACACCTCTGTTCATCTTCCACCATTCTGGAGTGATCTGACGAGTGACCCCTACAGCAGTCATATGGAAATCGATCCGTTCATGAACCCGGAAGCGTGCAGTTGTCCTTGAGTTCGATAATCCGGAAATAACGTCATTATTCGTCGCTCTTAGTTTGAAGCAAGTGAACCCTGTCGCCAAATGGTTAGTCTTGTTTCGAACAGGTGAAAACTATTCAACAACTAATCCTGAACAATGTCTGTGTCAGGGAACACAGGTAGCAGCTATACTGCAGAGAAGACACGTCAAGCGTCCGGAACTTCACTCAGGAGCTCTCAACAAATTACCTCAAACGATAAGTCATCATAAGTCATAACTCATCATCATAAGTCTTCACCAAGTGCACCTAACTATTATATTCATCACATTGTAGTAAGACAAACATTTGTCAGTGCTTGTTACCTTCTGATAATCAACTTTATTACGTCACAACTAGAGCACTAACAGTAGCATTACATTTCGGAAAACCTCTCAACATCAAAATAAGCCAGAAGTTTAGTGTGACGCCGGAAGACCTCTCAACATCAAAATAAGCCAGAAGTTTAGTGTGACGCCGTTGTTATCAGTGACCTAGTCTTCTGAAACATATGCGTTTCCATTGCATTAGTTTTATGGCTAAAACGTGTATTTGCACGCATCCTGACCTATCTATATCACAGCTTCTTGCTCGGTAAATGTTTACTGTTGAATTTTAATTACTTTGGTCTTAGCTTAACTCACTTCTATGCTAGGCGCCGATTGTAAACAGCTGTTTCGACCAGAATCTACTGCGGAAGTCTGCCTTCTCGGTGAACTCAGAATTAAAAATAAGCGATGGCTTTCGTGTCCTGACAACACCTTGTGCCGGCACTGCCGCTGAGATATTTACAACCACCGAATCTCCTAACCAGGGTGTCGCTATCCCAACCCAATTGCATATTTACGAAGGCTTATTTTGTTTTCAATCCCCTATTTGTCTGAGCTCTTTCGCTCCTTGGTCCTTCCTTCCATTAACATGTCAATTAATCCCAATAACTTTCTCTTGCAGGTCCCAGTTTCCCCCTCTTCATATATTCCGGCGCTCATCGTCTGGGACGGTAGGCTTCAATTCTAGTAACTATTCTTGAGAGTGCTGTCATTCAAATAATCTTTTTGTTGAAAAATGCGAAACGGTCCTGTCTAAGGAATCCACTGAATAGATTAACCGTGCGTGGGCTGGGTAGAAAAAAGAAGGAAAACAGACTCCACGGACGTTGGCGTTTGCACCACCGTCCATCGGGGCACCTTGTTGCCCGTATTACTTACTTAGCTGAATCGATAACGTCGATGAAAAACTCTCCACAAGATGCACGACTGAATTATCGAATGCGTCAATCACTCTGTTTGGAAACGCGGTGCAAGTAGTTAGCCACCAAACAGCCTTCTTCACCATTTCTCCCCATAGTTGACACACGCGAAAACCCCAGATTCTGCCGGTTAGGAGAGACAACTTTGTTCCACCCTTTTTCCGCAGTTCGTTTCCCTCCAACCGTAGTTCTGTGTTAGTTGATCCCTGGCGCATTCTACCAATATGATGTTCCTTCATCTCCCACCCACATGCCAGGACTACTTGTTTCGGAGGCTGTCTGTGCAGTTTTTCCCGTACTTTTGCTCCTATACTTATTCTAGACACCCCTCAGCCTTGTATCTATCTTGTCTGCCAGTTTGTCTCAGTTCTCTTTCTTTTATGTAAAGTTCTCGAGGTTTAGCACGCGCTCCTATTCACCAAGATTTCCGTGCATTAGTTATATCCAATCAGATAGGGAAAATCGTCCCCGGTGCTTCATAGAAATCTGAACTGTCATACACTGTTCCTTCAATAATGAATAATCTCTTGTTGACCATTGTAGATGAAGCTAATTAGCATTTCTTTTTGTCCTGTGTCTTTCAGCAATCCGATTCAACCTGACCCTACGCCTCCACCTCCTTTAAAGGTTGGGATTTTATCTTGCAAGTAAGACTAACCTACAGTGAATAGCCGAGAAGCACCGTACAATGTGCGACACACAAAACTGCAACGGGGGGTCCTGAACCCGTGACCCGTGGCCTATTCGCTTGAGATTCTAATCGTCCGGTAACGAGCTGCTCACCAGCAGTGTAATTAGCTCTCATTAACGCAGGTTATAGCAGCACGTATTATTTGGTCACAGAAAGCCCACCAGTTGTTCACAATTGGTGGCAAGTGACAATTGGTTCTTAAGCGACAACCTCTCAGAGGTAGTCTCACACTGTGAAACCACCCTTCCTCAGTGAAGAGGAGTAAACAAGAGATTTGGGCATGTTTTAGTGAGATATGTACTTCACAGTACTGGTTGTCTACCCCTTTTGGTACATCGCTTACGGTCAGCCTACGAATGTTCCATTTTAGCCGAATACATGGATCTCATGGTTGTACTGATATTTAATTTAAGTAGTACTGCTAATTTAATATCCATATTGCAGTGCGCAATGATAATTGTCTATTCAAATTTCCAGAGCAATTCGAACCCATAGCATTCGGTTTGAAGGTTTATTGTTCTAAACTTCGACATTTACTGGCTGATCAGTTGTGTTGTTAGGCCGTATCTTATATGGATATTGTGCCATGATGCAGTAGCTGCTTCGGTGTGTCAGAGAGTTTGCACGTGTACGTGTCCGTCCGTCGTTCCACCATCGATCTGGCGTGTGACTTGAGTGGCTGATTGGGTGCGTGTCCGATTGATTTGCTCGCGTGAGCGTTGTGGGTTGACTGGATGGGTGACTCAGTTGTTTGCTTACCCGCCACGAAAGCGGATCAGTTGGCCGCGTATACACAATACACCCGTGTCATTACTTAAGTGGTTTTCTGACTTATTGTGAACTACAATACATGATTATTTAACATTTTTGTATTCAGAGGCCTAATTTCCAGCTGGAATAGTGTCACTATTCTCTCCTCCAAAATTCATTCGTTTATCATTCAAAAAGATTAATTAAAACGTTGTACATCTCGGTACTTACTTCAAGATGCGTTTAAATTTCCCTTCGAAAACCTGTCTTTGCTTGAGCACTGAAAAATTAACGTTTCTGTTTTACCCGATGGCCATGCAAATCCCTTCCTTAGATGTGCGTTTTCGATGTCATCGGAACTTGGACCACCCATATTTCGAGCCCCTGTCGCCATCGGCTGGCTTAAAATTAAACTTTTGTCCAAAAATCCCCACCAAGCATTTCAACATTTGCTGATGTTTTCATGCCTATATTTCAAACTGTGTGTGCTCCAAAAGTGAGAAGAATCTTTTGTATTTTTGGTCCAACTTTCCTTCTTCCGCTGTTATGTCTGTTGGCAAAAATTTTTATTTGTTTCATTCTCACATGTCATAAATCGTCCATCCATCGAGGTCATAAAACGGTTTGATTAGTGATGCATCCCATCACGAAAAACCACAGTCACTCAAAATATATATGATTCTTTCAAAAGCAACCAATGCGGATAGGAAGCATAATAGGTTGAAAACAATGCGTACGTACGTGTATAAGATCTCAACAAGATTTCCTCATATCTGAAATCCATGTTTGACAGATGAACTCTATTTTACCTAGGAATCTCGCGAATAAGGTTCAGTGTGTTTGCTACCTTTCCAACTGTGAAGTTTGTTATACAGTGAGTGTTTTTCTGAATCAATTTTCTAGATATGGTGAAAACCAATGATAAGGGAACGATGTAGTAACCTCTCTGGGTTAAACGTCAGGTTGTGAAAACTCACAGCAAGCGATCAACGGCGCCTTTTTCTGACGATCCTATTACCACAGTTACAATCAAGGCATTGACTATTTCACTGTATTCGTGGATGGTTGAGGGGGTTACGATGCCTTCTGAACCCTTACAAATAATTATTTTCATCAATCCTTCAATCACGTGACCCAGAACTGGTGAACTTTCAAAGATGAAAAAAACATCAGGGGTTATTCGAGAAATACACTCATTTGCAAATCAATTTGGTTTTCACGAGAGACTCCACTGAATCTCTCGTTTATGATATTCTACAACTGAAAGTGCTGTACACAGGCCGCCTCACGATTCAGTTGGCACGGTATTCGAGATATTGCAGTATATTTTCATAAAGGAAACTACTCACAAGGTTGATGAAAACTCTTCGTCAGCCCACGATTGGTTTCACCCTGCCAGTTCGGGCTCATCAGGTAGGCGCAGTCCCCGAGTTTCCGTGAAACCGTATGACCTATTTGAATCCAAATTTCCCTGTTTTCGAGAAATACACGCATTTGCAAATCAATTTGGTTTTCATGAGAGGCTCAACTGAATCTCCCGTTTTGTGATATTCTACAACTGAATGTGCTGCACGCAGGCCGCCTCATGTTTCAGTTGGCACGGTATTCGAGATATTGCATTATATTTTCATAAAGGAAACTACTCAGGGGGTTAGTCAAACAAGTTGGAATACTGTAAGACCATGTCTTGGATATTATTCCAAGTTTGAAAAAAATAGTTTGATTCATGATGCCCCGATAATGGTCTGCACTTCAAAAACGGAAATTTCGCGGTAACTCTTGCAATTTGTCAGGGTATTATTCGACACAGAGTCAAATCAGCATTGGACACGGGAAGCGCATCGGCAATCAGTTGCTCAGCCTACTGTTACAGGAAGTTTTAAGAATGTTTCATTTTTTCAAGTTGGTCACGAATTGAATTAATATAGGGAACAATTCCCTGGGTTTACGTAATGATGAATATAGTGAGACCACGACCCCAAAAACAATCTGAATTAAGCCATAATAATCTTAGCTGCTCTAGCGGAAGCCTGCAAGTGCCGAACCTGTCCAAACCCACTCCAGAAGGTTTGCATCGAACGGTATGTATGTATATCCAAGACATAGACACACAAGCCTTGAAAGGGTCTCGTTTATCGATTGGGCGGTTTGTATAACGAAGTACGGAAAAGGCTACTCGAAATCACATTAGTGTCTTCTGGATATCCGGGTTATATCAGCTTACTCCTCAGTACGGATGAATCTCAAGAGCTCGTTAGAGGTTCTGATGGGTAGCAAGTGTTAATTCACACGGCATAATTGTGACATTTTATTGTGAAACTCAAGTGTTTATCCGCAAAGTTGTGTCTGGACCACGAAATCTCAGCTGGTTGAGTAGACTCAGACGATAGTTTGCGGTTTCCAGCCCCGCATTCACCGACACGTGGCTTACACCAGGGTCCATATCCAAGAAAAAGAGTAGACTCAGACGATAGTTTGCGGTTTCCAGCCCCGCATTCACCGACACGTGGCTTACACCAGGGTCCATATCCAAGAAAATGATCATTTGGAAGCTTACTCTTCTCTGAGATCATGCTTTTTGGAAGAACGATTTCCTCCTGAAGTTCATGTTTTTGAAGAACCCTAAATAATGAATGCGCAATTTGAGGCGCGGGCTTGCACGGTGCCGTTATAGTGGTTGCTCGGTTCCAGGTGCAGACCAACTAGCGGCTTAAATACCAACAGCAAAGGTCTCAAAAGGTGTCAACAAACCTTTAAGAGGCCAGATGTGACTTTCTCGAATAGATCAACAGTCATTAAATCAGGTGGAAGTGTATTCTACGAGTCCCCGAAATTTATTTATTTTCTCTTCTCCGACAACGTGGCCAAAGTAAATAGAACTGGGGCATTTCTCTCCGCCAAGCCCATAAAGTATTACCGAAGCTTTCTCCCGATTTCCCGTTTCAAAAGTTGTGCTCTTGTTTTATCAATCAGAAATACGATGCTTTTTCATGCGTTCGCTCAAGGTTTTCCCATGTGAATAAATGAATAAGAACACATCTCCACGTTCCCAACCATGTTCACTTTCTGCTGGAATAACTATTGAGAGCGAGATAAAAATGTTTAGGAATGGGTACTGCATTTTCAAAATCACTTTGAAGATCTGGTAGAATATATGGAATAGAGATATGAGACGATGAACTTGACACATTCATGCTTGTGAGTACTGAATCTTCCATGTGGATATTTTGTTCCCGGACATGTATAGAACAACATTACTGATACCATCCAAGATCGGTTGATACAAAAGATGCCTGTTCAGATTCAAAAATGAAGGGTTCCATTTGAAAAATTCGCGTAAGATACGATCGAAAAGCTCCCACAGGTTGTTTGCAACAGGTTCCTATTTGTCGTACCGGAATGGCATGTATCGTCAAGTGGTTTGAGGTTGGTTGTCTATTAATATCAGACATGGTCGTTGGTTTGTTCGCTGAGCTGGCCAGTCGGATTGCAAACGATTTGTCAACAATCGAGGTGATATCATCAGTGCGTTGTTATACAGCGTAGTGGTACATAGTGATGGGTTGGTAATAAAACGTTTGCAATCAAAATCGCCAAGCTTAGCGAACAAAACAACGATCGTCTACGCTGCCTGAGCTATCAGTATTTTCCTCTATAGAATATCATACATGTTTTCCAGACTTAAGCAAGAATACAGGGCAAGGTCCCCTTATTCTCAAAGGTAAGTGAAGCTCACATCCTCCAATACCTTCTGGTTTACGAACTAAAGAAGCTTCCTCATTTTTTCTGGACAGAACCTTCGGTAAATTACATGATCAAAGCAAATTCAACCATAAATTCTAATTTCCCTGGGAATTTAGGTTACTTGAAATGCATTACCAACAGAAACACCTGATGTGCAATAATCTCGCCTGAACACAAGAATACACAAGAATACCAAGAATACACAGTTCTATTCTATCATTCAGAAGAAAAAAACTTTTTAGCGGGTACGCATTTCTGTTCCACCTACATGGCTGTTTCACCCGGTAAACACGTAACACCATCAGCCTAGTGAGACCTATAGCTGAACAGCCTGTTTCCGACGTTGATAGGCGTCTTTTTCCTAGATCATGCGAAGTGAAAAGCACTGAACCGACCCGATTCACCAATCTAAATACATTAATTTGCATCAAGTCTGGCTGCATTGGAATTCAGTCTCTGACGACCTACAAAAGGTCATATTTTATGCATGTCAGAAGACGAGAGCGTCTGAATTCCGACCTCAGAATGGGCGGACATGATTAATTTGTGTGAATTTATCCGGCATCTCAGACGACAGCCGAACAAACGTCGTGATTGTGACGATCAACAACCCGACTCTCAGAAAGTCTGGGTATGATAGCGACGCGGTCACTGCCAGACAAGCTTTGATTAGTGACAAAGCTGAATATGGACAACGAATAATTGCTTTCGAACTATCTTGTAAGCGCTGGATCCTCGCAATATACTATAGACAATAAGCCACCATCGCGTCAAAATGAATGTGTTTCTCCATCTTTGTATTTACTTCAAGTGCTCTCAAAGCCTGATAGAATTTGCACAATGTTTGCAGCTACTTGATAAACACAACAGTGCCCTGGCAATTTCCAAACGCTCGTTTTATTTTTTTCCAGCAAATAGCGTCCATGGTCTTTCCAAAGCGAAGCCTTTATTTTCGGTGAGTCCATATCAAAGGAGAGCTTATCAGCAGCGCTTATCCTATGGCCGTGCCGGGATTCGATCCCCGGACATCTGAAGTGCGGGGCGAGGGTGTAACGACTATTCCACCAACACACGTTAGACGAATATGAACTTTCACGTCCGAACAGGTGAACGTTTTCAAACTTGAGCGATGTGATTAGTGTGCCCGACTCATCGAACGACGACCCAGTAACTGTCCTGGTTGTGACAATCGTTTGACCGTTCAAACGAGAGTGGTGTAACAATGAACAAAATACCTATCCCGCAAAACCCCGACCGTTCAAACGAGAGTGGTGTGTCAATGAACAAAATACCTATCGCGCAAAACCCTAAAACTGCAACGAAAAACTATTATTTCGCAAATGGGGAAGTTCAGCGAATGACTGTTTCAGCATTTGAGAATAAATTAACCCCATCAAATATTTTCGCAGTCCACTTTAAAAAAGTTCAGCGAATAACTATTTCAGCATTTGAGAATAAATTAACCCTATCAAATATTTTCGCAGTCCGCTTTATGATATTTTACAATGTTTCAACAGCCATTTTCGAACATGTTTTACGTAAAATTTTCCTTCACCCAGCAGAGAGTACACATTTTTCTATCCAACGTCCAGCAACACACATGTATCATGGGCAAATTTAAGCCACCCGTTCACCCTGATGGGACTTGCAAATGTGTGTATCTGACAATACAATACAAATAGCCAGGGATGACCAAGAAAAATCTGGAAACGATTCGCTTGCCTACGTTCAACAAGTTCCCACGCAGCTTCGGTAGACCAGAATCTCAGATGTAGCAAAGTGCTTGGAATACCTGCACCATGTGCTTTATAGTCATAAAGTTTCTGGAATTTAACAGTCAACGGGACGAATTTTGTGTGGACACGATTTACAACTCAGGACAACCCATAAGCTTGACGAAAGCTATCGGTTTCGCCCATTCCGAGGCTAATTAGGTTGGCCCCCAACTCGAATTTCAATTTTCGCCGCCTGGGAATTAATTGGGTATTAAAAACCGACTCAGTCGAACCTTCAACTAAATCTCCAAATTAGTACATTTCTAAACTGTTCATCTTCCCTGAATTAGTGAGGCCAACTAACGTCTTCCGGGCTCAGAGATTATTCTCCTTTGTTCAACTACCTGGCAGTGTCAGTTCTGGAGCACCGTTTGACTAACGAACAAAATGGTAATGGGGCCTATCTATGCTGCTTCTGATGTGTTTTACTCGATAAATTCCTTGTAGATCAAGAAGCCATATCTGACCTTCACAGTGAGCTCTAATAGTTTAAACAGCTACAAATAAATACCAGAAGTATAAAATAAGTGAATGTGCGAATAGTTTCAAGTAGTTGGCACTGGAACCAAAAGAATCATAGCATCATTTGAGGATGTTCTTTTATTATCCGGTTCAGCGGTCATGGCAAGAAAGAAGACATGGTAGCTACAGTGACTTTTAGCAAGTACAGACATGCTCAAAAATAAGCATATCCCATCGTTGAGAGGCTTTTAAACATGTTCGTCTCGTTTGCATTGATACAGTATCGGTTACACGACAACTTCAGTTATCAAATCTCGATATCTGAATCCGACGTCATCAGACACATATATTTCTGTTTAGACCAGAATATTTTCCATGTGCTCTTTTAGTTTGATGTGGACTAACCATGGTAATTAAACCACAGAAAGAGCAAGACCTTTCGACTGGGAGCCATGGATGTAAGTTTAGAAAGACTTGATCAGTTAGCTAGATCGCTATGCCCCTATCGAATTATGCTCCTGTTGCGTCGATGACGAACTGTTAGTGAGCGGTAACTGTGAGTCGCAATCACCACAACGCCAGAAGCATTCTGTCTTTCGTGCGCTCGATCCAGTTTGATTGATTGGCTGTACGCTTTCTACTCTACAACATGTATTATTTGTTATCTTTTCACTCAAAAATAAAGGATGATCACATTTTCACCCCGTTTTTATGAAATGTTTACCCATAGGGCGGGAATATACTGTATTTAACTAGGCACAAATGTGTGGTCAATTAAAAAAAGCGCTTTGAAAGCCTCCGGAAAAAAGTAACGGCCCCAAAATCAAATAATACGTTATCACGTGCAGACGGTTAGAAGAGTGGTCAAGTTCTGCCTAGTGAGGCATCCATGCGAGCACTAACTAAATTTACTGACAAATTCTAGGCTGCTACAGTGAAGTGATTGGTGGGAGTCATCTGGAGAGATACTTGAATGAGTAACTCAATTTCTCGGGCGACTTCCGAGTAACAGGCCGCAACCAAGTGACAAGTAGCATGCAAAATAATCTGATGTTTGGCAAGAGCTTGATGTCGTACTTGACTCCGAAAGCCGACTGACAAGTTTGATTCATAAAAAACGTCTCCATGGTAAAATCACCACATTCATCATTGACAGAAAAAGTTATTTACCAGCAGAAAACTTGCAGAAGTAAAGAGCATAATCGACCCAATAATTCTACGAAACTGACGCTGACTGAGCCATTGGAATAAAAGGAACATTCGCATAGAAATTTTCGTCTCTGATAAGATGAAATGCTGATGGCCTGTGTACACAAATTAAGATGAAGTTGTGTTGATAGCGCTTTCGAGTAAGCACTCCAGGAAGCTGGAAGTCATATACTACTGTCATGCGAGCGCGTCTTATTATTACGCTCTGTAGGCGCCATTCGTTTTCGCTAGACAACTTGAGACTTCCAACTGATAAGTTAGGACGTGAAGCGAGGTATGCACCCGTCCTTGATACGTACCAGCTTCCAGAGCTCTATATGGTGGTCAAGCTGGACTTGCAGTGACCTCCAGAATT